GCTGAATACAGATCACTCAGGAAAGTAGTAGGTGAATTGGTTTGGCTAAGTCGACTGCTTACTGAGTTGGGTGTTCCCTATCCAAAGCCTATTTCGGTTTTTTGTGATAGTCAGTCTGCACTACACATTGCCAAGAATCCTGTTTTTCACGAAAGGACCAAACACATCGAGGTAGACTGTCACTTTGTGAGACATGTCTTACAACAAGGACTTATCTCATTGCATCATATTGCTACACAAGACCAGTTGGCTGACATATTGACCAAAGCCTTAACAGGAATCAAGCACTCTTCTATCCTTGACAAGTTGGCAGTGTTATCTTCACCTCCAACTTGAGGGGGGGTATTAAGTATTATATTGCACAGCTCACGTATTGCATTGTACAGCTCACATAGTTAGTTATAGAATTGGTTAGAGAGTTAGTTAGCTCATGTATTCAATGTGTATAGTTAGTTAGCTCAAACTGTAATAGTCTAGAAGCTTCCAGCTGATGTGTATATATACTTCACTGATGAAATAGAATCATTCAAGCTTTGCATTCTACAAGTTATCTTTTCTACTCTTCTTCTTTACTGATTGTAGTCAAGGCTTCCATTGTTGATAAATAGAGCAGAAATATTCATGTTTTGAATGATAACGGATGATGTTGACTCATTAAAAAAAAATATGTGGAAGCTTTGCATAATCATTATGAAGCTATGCGACGAAAAAATAATTTTTATGATTGAAGTTATATACTCTAATATAGAATTCATCCACACAAATAATAGAGAACATACAAAAACATTGAAAGATTGCTTTTGAGCACTAAAACAAAATTTATGTTTATCACTAGCTTTTTTAATAATATGATTGTGATTTGTCATTACGTGTGAGACTATATATCTCCAAAGTAGAAAATAAATAAAAATTTCAAGAGGACATGAGAACTCTAGGAAAAATGAAACTATGTAGTGAGTTTGTTGATTTTAAAGGCATCCAGATTTTATTTTTTGACACGTCCAGCAGATAAAGGGCAATAGCATGATTCTTGCTTTTATTTTTCACTCATCTTGTCGGTTCTTGATTTTATAATGCACCATTCATGTGATATGTTTCTTAAATGTTTACTTTTTATATATGAACCACTACAAGAATAGTATGAATTGCATGGGGATTTTCCTGCAAATTTTCATACAAATTCCCAGGAAAATTCCCATATAATTCACCCTTTTCTTGTAGTGGACGGTGTAATGATTTTGAACAATATCAATTATTTTGTAGTCAACTATTATGTTATAAACATGAGATGGTAACCCTAAAGAAAAAAACTTGTACAGAAGTTATGGTACCTATGTCGCACCTTGATATAATTTTGAAACGAGACATAATATGTCATCTGAGATGATTTGTGAATAATTTGTATCATAATCGTTATACTTAGTTTGTCGCGTGATATAACTAGTGAACAAGATATAATTTATCAATTTGACAAAACTTGTGAAGAGTTTGTACCAAAACTATGTAACTTGTGAACGATACATGATCTATAATCTGAGAAGATTTGCGAATAATTTTTATTATAGTTATCCCTCCTTCCCGACATTGATTTTCCAATCCGATAAGATTTGTACCAAAATTATGCCCCGCTTGACATAACTTGTGAACAAAACGTGGTATGTAAATAGACAAGACTTGTGAATAATTTAATTAACAAGATATATAAGATAAGATTATACTAAAGTTATTCCCTGCCCAAGTCCAACATATTTTGTTAAAAGAGTATTTCATTCTTCCAATTGTGTGTAACAGTACTGTCCTATGGAACATTTTAATACTCAGGCCCATAATATGCCTTAGCCCTTCCTTTCAACCGGGCTTTTGTAATCACTTAGAACCAATTTCAAACTGCCAAAATTCAATGGCTAGCAAATCCAAGCCCAAAATTTTTGGAGTTTGGTGGTTTATGACAAAATTGTTAATGGTTACTACTATTAAACAACATATACTTATCTAGAAGAATATCTTTTATGTTTGGACAAAAGTAATGGTAGGAATTCTTGACAAGATGTGAAACTTCACCTCTTTTTTCTTTCTTTTCACACTTTCACTTCTTGTTTTGATGATGAAAGGCCACCCTTTGATATGATTCATTCACATTTCTGATTCCATATATCATATACTAACACGGTATTACAATCCTTGGTCCTCCCATGATACTCTTGCGGTGTATATCATATAATACTAACGTATCGTAGAGGATTAGTTCATTCCTTTTAAAATAAACACTCCTCAATTTTCTGTGGCTGTATATATAATATATCACATACTAATAAAGTATTATAGAAAATCAATTCATTTCTTAAAAAAAAACTCAATCTTCTGTTATCACCCATATGGTATATATAATCATAGAGAACCAATTCATTTTAAAAAAAATAAAAAATATTCAATCCTCTGTGACACCACTTCAATATATATGATATATCTAAAAAAAATAAAAATAAAGAGTTTAAGCTTAACTCTGATATTTTAATTTATATCATTTAACAAGTCTTACTTGTGAAGAAATATAAAAAACAGATACATATTCTAGATAGAAATTTTGTTTTCATTTGCAAAAGCTTTTATATATATATATATACACCAAATTAAGTTTTAAATAATAAAAATAGTGATTCTAATATTTTTCTCAATTATTTTTTGTTATAGGGTAATTATTATTATTATTTATATATATTTTTATTAGAGGTGTCAAAAAGGGACGGCCCAAGCCTCATGGGCCAAGGAATTTGAAGGGCTAGGGTCGGTCGGTCCTTCATTTGGAAGGGCTTGAAAATGCTCAACCCAACCCAACCCAACCCTAGAAGGACCGAGGGCTGGGGCGGGTTGACCCTTCTTTTTTTCATTTTTTTCTTTTCAAACTTATAATTCTATAACATCAAGAAAATGAGAAGATTTTCAAATCAAATATGACAAACAATGGTGTTTTTCCAATAACAATATAAAAAAAATCTTAGTGTATTAGCATGTATCTCGCATATTAGATACGCGAACGAGATAAGAGAGTGACAAGCAAGATTGGAGAAAGGCGAGGGCGCGAGATTCGTCTATGTATCCTAGATACATGCGAATCTACTTGGATAGAGTCTATCTAGAACAAATTAACCTAATTTTGAGTCCATATATTTCGAGATACATGTATTTGGACATACCAAAATCTAGTATATTTCGTAATATTACAACATAACGTGTATTTAAGTAATTAGATTATATACTAGTGAGATCATTGTAAGTTATCCTTAAATAAAATGTTTTGGCCCAAGGGTCGGACTTATAAGCCCTTGTTTTAGTTGGGCTTGAAAAATCTGTCCTAACCCTACCCTAATAACGGGTTGGGTCGAGTCGGCCCCATGAGCTAAACCCGTTTTGACGACTCTAACTTTTATCTTTATAATTAAAAAGAAAAATAAAGAGGCAAAAAAAAAGAAGGAAAAAGACAAATAATGAAAAGAATTGTTGAAAAAATTACATTGAACTGCACATAATAGTGTGAAAACG